GCGATGCTTGAGCTCCTTCCCTAGGAGCAACGTCGCCTCCAAGGAGACCTAATTCTTACTTATGCCCTGTTTGAACAAAGCTTGGCAGACGGGTTTTTCACCGTTGACCCAGCAAACACACGGCGGTGACGTAGTAAGAAAATTTTCAAGCTCAGAGCACGCACATTCATTGGACAAAATTTTTCTCATTTTGGGTAGTAGCTGCTTTGAATGACCGTCCTCCGACGGTTGTCCACGCTCCTTCCAGAACCCAGTTTAAAGCACTATTAGACATTTATTTATGCGAATCCTCGCGCCGGCAAGCACACTGCCCTGTACTGAGAACATAAACAGCCGTGCCACACCCTTTTTCACTTGTGCCTTTCAGATAAACGGCAACCACGGACCGACAAGAACAAAACTGACCGGGAAAACTTGGGCAAAAGCCTTGATCCTGTGTATCAATCCGTTAATCCGTGGATCGTGTAGAAGGAAACGCCAAGACAAGTGAAAACGGAGTCGACGGCCTGGTGAGCTGTGAAGGAACGAGAATATATACCTGTAAACTTTGATGCAAAAGCCCGAATTCCAAATAATACTTTCCGTCAAGTCCTTTAACTCTTCCTCGCTTTTCCAGGCATATTCGTGCGCAGATCTATTGAACACGTTGAATCCAAAGGCGGTACTTTGAGGCCAAGGTCACCTTCCGATTTCGCGTCCCCCTACTCTCGTTCGGCGCAAGTTCTGAGATGGTTTGTTCCTATTTCTGGTGTATCAATCCGTGAATCCGTGAAAACACGTTGAATCCAAAGGCGGTTCTTTGAGGCCAAGGTCACCTTCCGATTTCGCGTCCCGCTACTCTCGTTGGGCACAAGTTCTGAGATGGTTTGTTTCCTATTTCCGTTAATTAGCCGTAGACGTCGGGCATAAAGCCATCAGAAGAATGTTTGGAAGTTTTCAACAGGATTAAGATGCAGCACACGAACATGTACGCAATATTCAGGGTGGAAAGTGAAGAAATAATCGTCGATAAACTTTCCGATTCAGGTTTGGACTACATTTTACGACCAACCAATTTTATAGGTGCAAAGTATGAAGACTTTCTTGAAGATATGCAGAGGCGTGCTAATACAGGCTGTTTCGCCGTCATAGATTTCCCATACAAACGGGGTATGTCGACGGATTCGAAATTGGTGTTTGTTTCCTGGTATGAATCTTTTTTATCTATACATAACGATTAAAGGGTTAATGACCAGCTTCCTACAAGAACGAAGATGCTTTATGCATCATCAAAAGAGTCTCTCAAAAAGAAACTCGAGGGGATCAAATTATTTTTACATGCAAGTGATTTCGACGACCTCTCTGCTGATTCAGTTACTCGGGCCATTTCGAATTCAACGGGTTCTCTATCTATTGCATAAGTTACCGTGGCTGAACCTGCTTTTGCATTCCGGTTGATATATGTTCATTTCCAATTTCGATACCAGAACCTGTGTCACATTCCTTATCTAAATTGAGTTTTGACAATTTTACGATGAAGGAGTCGCGATTTCCGAATGAACCCCGAGGATAGTACCGGATTTTTCAGCCATATCGTTTTGCTCCACTAAGGGTTGTTCAAAGCCCCCGAATTGTTCGGTTGTTTTTGCTGCTCTCCCTTTGCACAGTATTTGGATGCCATGCAATTAGCGACCATTTTCGGTTTCTTCTGACACCAATGGGTTTCGGAGGAGACCGCACCCTAATAGACGAGCCAGTTAAATCCAGTGAGTCCTACTGGATGTGTCATTTATTACTCATGATGGTTCCGCGTATGTCTCGAAGTCCTTTGTCCAGCCACGTGCAGAGTTTAAAGGTTCTAAAGTTGCTTAGATAACAGCTTGGCAATGGATCCCGAAAGCTAACTTATTGACTGGTTCGCTTCGGAGACTGCCGTCTTTCCTGCTAAGTTTTTTGGGATCTTGGAAATATTCCGGTTGGGTCCAGGCGATTTTGCTTACATATTGTTAAAATTTTTCGGAGGATATGCTAACCCATTCCACTGACGCGCATGCGGCCACTTGCAGACTACCTAGCTGAATTTCACCTGGCTTTGTGCCCCAATCTTACGTTGGATATGGTTTGCGGAAGACCTTAGGTCAATCCGGCTGATGGTGCATTTGATACGATGTCGTCAAGAGTTAAGGCACGTTATTCTGAATAGCTTTTCCTAAGGACATCGTGCTTCTTCGCACTAGGTACCTACCCTTCCCTTCGCTTTCTCTCATGGTCGCATTGCAGTTAAGCGACAATACTTCTGACAACTAAGAAACCATTTTCCTTGGTTGTGAATCATACTGTGGATCAGTGAAAACTTAGACAATATCCCGTCCCCGGCTGTCAGTCGTCATAACTGTTTTCCTCAAAGTGGATCGGTTCACCAACTTTTCACCATCGAAAAGTTCCCGGGGCTTCCTCCTGGATCCATCACCTGTTGTCAGGACTGTCCACGCTGGACTGGTGTAAGCCTAGCTGTCCTCACTGTCTACCTCCTATTGTTGGTGGACGTAATTCTGTGGTGACTGAAACTAAAACGTCTTATACGATCAATAGCTTATTCACTGGGTATTTAGGACAGTTACCTCTGGTCAAGTCTATAAGATCAGCCTTTACTTTAGTTCGTATGGTGGTAACGAGTTGTTTGGGGATACCCCTTTGTGTAAAGATCTGCTTCCAAGATTCTGATGGCACAAACTAAAAAGCAGTCTATGGGTACTCAACGCCAGCCCCCGTTAATGCGCCAGTATGTTTAAGAAAGAAGCACTGTGCGTCTCGTCCACCCTTCATCATTTGAATGTATGTCATTCCCTGCTGCATTCGTCCCTGGATAAACTTGTGCATTACTGCAGAATCCCGGCCGCTTCGCAGAACGTCATTTTATTTTGCATTCGCAGTCCGCGGGGTGGCTTAGTGGTTGGAGCGCGAATTTACTGACCGGAGGGTCCGCTGTTCGAACCCGACATCTACCCCTCAACTTCCCCTGTCTAGGCCATCATGCTCCCTTCCGATGGCGTGGCGGTTAGGCACCGGAAGGGTGCTACAACTGAGCGATCACAGTCTGCACTTCCTCTATCGCCTCTGTGTTTTAGCTAAGTTGGCGAGCTAGTTTATTCAGTTTTCCATTGTGGCTATGATGAGAAGTCCAGTTGCCGTTGTGAACAAATTCACTAATTTTGTGATATCATAGTCCTACTTAGACGTCTGACTTGCATGCTTGTGCGGTGTGCACGTTTAGGCATCCCCATCGAGACGTAAAATAGAAAAAATCGTTCAGCTGTGGCACCGGGTGCCTAGCTGCCATGCCACTCGAAGTAAGCGCGAGGGCTGTGATACTGCCAGGTTCCCCAGGCCTAAACAGGGGAAGTCGAGAGGCGGAGGTCGGGTTCGAACCCAGAACCTTCCGTTCAGTATATTCGCACTCTAACCACTTGAACCATCTTGCTCCGAGACGTTCCCTTAGGTGGACTGACCTCTAGTCATAGCTGTGCAGTTTTGAGGAACCAGCATTTTCGTCCCATGTAATTTGGTTGTCGCTTTGTTCCAGCTGGAGTGTGGATCAATATCCGCCACATGTAAACCATGTGGAACAGGTTAACTATTCCATTGGGTAGTGGATTTGTATCTCGGCGCTGCGTGTGTCAGTTTCATCGCCCCGTTTCACAGGCACGACAATGTTGCCCCAGTTTTTGATCTACTATTACTTTTATCGTATTTGCCCTGGTCCCTAGCCCCCAACGAATCCAATTCGTTGTCAGGCAAACGCGAGAATGTTAATGAAGTTCGAAGAGCTTGCCTGTGCCCCAAGTTGGCTATACCTGCGGCGATAGCGTAAGTTATTTTCAATGTCCATGGTCCTATTTTTTATCGCACGCTTGAGTGGATTAAGACATAGAAATTCCTCGGCCAGGTCCTTACGCAGAAATAGGGAAGCAAGTATAAGCACAGGTCACAAATGTTATGATGAACCGTGGCGGCGCATATTTGCTTGGCGTTTGAAAAGCTACTGGTCGTAAGATTCCGGAAGCATGGTTGGTGGGGGTCCCATATACAGGCTTCTTTGGGAATGAAAGAGTCGACTCACTTGTGCAGTTGGGAATCGAATCTTAGCGAGTATGTCCAAGCATGGTTGGTTCATTATGGTTTATAGACTAGAGTGAAAAGATGGCTAGCCTCGAGCGCCTATCATGTTAATGGTAGTAGAACGACGAGAGAGACCACTTTCCGCCGGCGGTACAGGTTTTTGTGCTATCAATCTGCGGAGTACAAATTTTCCCTGAATAGAATCAATTAGGCTACCGAAAGACGAAAGAGCCACAGCCCGTTCATGGCGTTGATATTCCAGAGTTTGGTACGTTCTAGATTGAAAAATAAGCTGATATAGGCTGAGATAGTTCGAAATAGGAAGCGAGTTTTCTATAGTTACGGGAATTTTGATGTGAGCGGACTGGGAAAGGCTGTTAACAAGTGGAAGTCCAGGGATGGCGAACTGATCGGAATGAAAGTTGGGAGCGGCTCTGATAAGAAACGGGTGGTTGAACTTAGCCTAGTGAAGAGAAATGTACACATGAAGCGACTTGGACGGGTTGAAAGTTGCAGCGGTCGAGAACCCCCTTAAACTCATCGTTCTTTACTGAAATGCCGAAATTGGTGTGGCACCTCAGACTAATTCTGTCTCAGAAGACAGTTATGCAGAGGAAGAAGACAGGAGGATAGTGAGTGGTGTTAGCTAGAAAAGCCTGAATTTGGACAGTAATTATGCGCAATAAGTCATTAATGTAAAGGAGGAAAAGAGTGGGAGGGCATACAGATCATTGAGGAACTCTGGGTCTGAGAGACGACGCTGTCAAGGTTCATTTAAATAGAGCAACCACACAGGGAACTTCAAATTCGTTTCAGCAGGCTGGAGGTGTAGGCGATACATGGGGAGCTTTGCCCAACACGATTGAGGAAATACATTGACTTGCAAATTAGGCTGTTAACAGGAACTAAACGGAATCCCACTTGAACCTCTCCAGTGATATTTTTCGATTGAATGTGCTGCATGGAAGCCCTAGCACAGCGCATGGTTGCATATTCTGTTCTTCGCTGCATCAAAACGGGTGGTAAAACCGTCCGAGAGATCCTTGTTTACCAGGGGTATAAGATGTGTGGATCGAACCATACAACCTTGAAGAACGTACACGACACAAATTAAACGATCGTCTGATTAGGGACAGCTTTTAACTTCGCATACTCCCAGGCAGCCAGAAAATACAACAGAGGGGTGTGAGTTTCATAGAGTAGGGAGGTACGCTATTGAAGCATCAGTGTTAATACCGATGTTGCTTCTGGTATCATCATCATCATCATCGTTGATCGATCAGTTCTGTTAACTACACTTGCTCAACAGGGCATGCCCCAGAAGTTTGTAAACATAATCCGATCTCTATATTCACATACTTCTGGGCGGGTGAAGGTGTATGGTGAGCTCTCCAAAAGCTTTCCTACAAAAAGTGGTGTCAGACAAGGATGCCCACTCTCCCCATTCTTGTTCAACTTCGTCACCGATGAAATAATGAGGCGAACACTGGACGGTTTTCAAAACTCCGGTGTTCAAATTGTTGCTGGCGAGAGCCTTGTCAACCTGGAGTACGCAGATGACATCGCCCTCATCTTTGAAGACCTTAGCGAAGCACAAGCCCTGTTGAATAAACTGACCGCCATCATACCAGCATTTGGCATGCGCCTTGCACCTTCAAATGATAATGCAGAGCGGAATGGTTTGGTACGAATGGTAAAACAATGTTCAGACGCCTGCAAACGAGCAGAAAAGTGAACATCACAAGGCGGAGGATGTCACTAGACCCTGGGTAAGCAATGGCACCCCTCTATCTGACTCATGCAACAAAAGAAATCATTTGGTTGAAGGAACTGGTGTAGTTACAAACTTCGTCCTTAGACCTGAAACAATCGAACGGCATATGGTTCGGAAATAAGACTGGTCAGGCCATCGGGTCTGAAGATTTGGGAACAATACAAGAGGGGCAGATGAATGTAAAAATTGACCGCATAACGAATGTTGCACGGGGAGGTTGGAAATTCGCAAGATAAAACATTGTAGGGTCGTCGTCTCTATGTCCGTGTTTGTCTGATGAGTGGAAGACTTAGCTCCCAGTCCAGTTCAGTTTTTCAACTCACAAACCGTGCCTCGAAATGCAGTGGTTCCAGCGTTCGCGGAGTATTCGGAGAATAAGGGAATGAGAGTCATGTGCCGGAGGTGATGGTCCATTCAGTTCATTGACATCGAATTGCTCTATGTCCTGTGTGGCATGGACTGAGTTGCGCAGTGTAGATGATAGCTTTGATGCAAGACCGCCATTAGCTGCGTGACGCAACCATATCTGTCAGGACCACTAACCTGTGGTTAGTCTAGGGCGAGATGGCTTAAGTGGTTCGAACCCGACCTCTGCCTCTCGATTTCCCCTGTCTAGGCTTGAACAACCTGGCAGTATCCTAACCCTCGTCCTCCCTTCGGGTGGCATGGCAGTTAGGCACCGGAAAGGTTTTGCAGCTGAAAGAGTAGTCTGGTTCTGTGGTCCCGATCAGGCAGATGACACTTGTCAGCGCGACTGGTTTGAATGATAACGGCTTTAATGCTTCGCTGCCAAGTCATGAACTGACCGCCTCTGGTTCGTCCCCATCGGATCCGAGGCTTGACGAAGAGGGTTCTACGGGGCAAACAATCCTCTGTCATACGAAGCGCATGGTCCAAGCGGCGTAAACTGTGGAGTATGATCAGCTGATCTACCGAAGGGAACGTATATTCCCGGGAACCATCTGTTGTACTTCAGCACTACTGATCTGGTGTTCCCTCCAGACTTGCGCATGTGCTTCAGACACACGTATGGTCAAACACGGAGCCTTCGAAGTCCTTTTATATACAGTGGGCACGTCTCTGGTCCATAAAGTCGGACAGATCGGACCACGGCATTGTGCACTATACCCTTGACAGTTAGGTGATGTCACGTTGATGCCGTAAATGTCGGAACTTAGCAAACGCTGCTCTGGCAGTTCTATAGGCCAGACAGCGGTGCATTTCCCGGCGGTAGCACGGGCCATCTAGTATCCGAAAAATTATTTCACGACTCGACTTACAGTTGGCTTCCCAGGAATTCCTTTTTGTGGGTTGAAACAGGTTATGCGTATTCCCAGTTGTGTTAGCTTTCCCAGACCACCAGGTTCCTCTATCTTCAGTTGGGTTGCGTACGAGCCGATGCCTGGTAAACACCTGAATCATAGTGAATATCCGAAGGAACATTCTGGTCCCGCACCAGATGATCACCTCTACAATCCAATTCTAACTGGATGACCAGAAAGACTACATACTGAATTTCCCTCCTGAAGCATAACGGTACCTGTCTCGTGCCATTCACTATGGCAACGAGACATCAGTGTTGAACAATGATGTCATGCTGCCGATGGTGATGATGTGCCAGTTACAACTGGCTTTCTCTGAGTATACAGATTATATAGATTCACATGGTTGCCTCAGTAGGCTTGCTTAGCTTGTAGGTTAGAGGGCTTTTAGATGACAGCGATGGATCCGTTCTTCAGGTTTTACAGGGGAAATCATCAATCGGAGAATGACTGGAATCGATGTGGGTGCTCCAGAAAGGTCAACTTTGAAGGACGTAGCGTCAGCGTCAGTCCGTATCCGTGGGTGTTCAGTAGTTTGTGGGCATCAGGTGACAACATCCCATGCTGCGCCTAAATTCATTGCTAGTGGGGAACAATCCAGAGTCCATGCAAAGTTCTAGCAGTTGATCTCCATTATTATTACTTCTTGAGTTCAAGTTGAATTGGCTTCTGAGTCGCACCTCCGATGCAATGATGGGCTGAGTGAGAGCCCTAAATGGTGCACGATAAGCTCGATTACCGCACTGGGATAAGTAGCAAAGTTTGGGAAATGATGTTCACTACCGATGACAAAAATCAATGATGAGCGTTCGGGAGGCTTGTTGATCAACTTACTCTGGACTTCGCACTTAAAAGCTAAGAAGCTGACACAAGACGGCTGGTGCGATTTGTGCCTTGACAACCATCTCATGGCGTGCAAGGCCAGTATGCCTACCACCGAAGAACGATCATAAAACGTGAATAGAGATTAAAAGGTACTAATGAGTGAGGGTTGGAAACATCATCAGAGACCCGTTTTTGATTCCCTATTCTACTGTATGCTGCCAGTAAGGCTGATGTCACATCGGACTGTATTTGTGCAGTTCGTAGTGATGTGCTGAAAGTGCTGCTCCAAGGGTCTCCAAGCCCAGACGGTAGTACGAATATGGTGTTCACCTGAAGCCTTTGGCTTGAAGGCTTGGCCGCGAGACAACGGTGGTTGGCGTAAGACTAATAAGTAGCTCTACTTTGAAGTAACAAGACATCACAACCCTCAAGGCGGAGGACTAGGGGACTCCGTCAGACCTCCATTTTCAAAATAAGGTGTCCAGGTGCATAGCAACAAGGCAAGGACACTCCTATGAGTGGAAAAAGCTGTTAGTTTGCAGCCTACCAGAGGGTCCTGTACACACTAAGTTTCCATAGACACTTATCCACTTTAATGCTGATGAAACTAAACCGATTCCCCACACCGATGACAGGGACTAGCAGTTGATTGTCTGTGAAATTCATTATTGAGTCCCTTGTGTGACTTTCAGATACTAATATTGTCCAGGCACCAAAGGGCTCAGGTGTAAATCGCTGGAAACTAAAGTGGGATTTGGTGAATATTGAAATAAGAGAACCAAGTACACCTGAACGAAAACCACCCAGACATGTATTTGCGTTAACACCACGTGTGACCTGACCTACCGAATTGTAGGTTTAGGATTGAGTGCCACACATGCTCTCAGTATGACGTGATATTGACAGAGATCGACAAACCTTTGTGCTACGGTAATGTCTGTGATTATTAATGAATGTCAAACCTGGTGGGTTGCCTTTGAATGAAAAGGAATTCGCTATCACCTAACTATTCAGCAGAGGATATGTGTTACGGCCCAACGTGACGCATGTGGGACGATGGTATCTGGACATTCATCAGTGTTCTCCGAAGGAGGCCCTAACTCATGGTCGCTCAAGAGCTGTCAGAAGACAAGTGGTAGCAATGGAAATCAAACAATAACTACTGTTAAAAACCAACACAAGTCGGCGTAGAAATTGGTTATGATCGGGGTTTGGATGATTGATGTTTGGGCCAGCAATCTACCAAAAGTTGCCCACTTTGTAGCGACACTGACTTGTTTCAGCATATCTTACTTCCCGACATGCTAAGCTAACGAGGTTTTCAGGAGTGGCTTCCTGTCGAGACATGTGGTGCAGCCCGAACCGGATGCTGGCTGGTCCTAGTACTAACGGGTACCAACTACAGTTAGTGTAGGCTATCAAAGCGCCGCTTCAGTACGCTGTGGATGTGACAACCGTCAGTTCGATGCTAGTTTCAGGTTTATCTTGTTTCCCCGTCTGTCCTATCACTTCGGATCCACTTCGGCTCACAGGGTGGGTGGTATAAGTATCGGATCAACAACGCTGAGGAAGTTCCGTGAGTCTTGTGGGGATCAGCATCGCTTGAACAGGTATCCTCGTGTGGATGATCACCGGGTTGGTAAGTGACTGTACTGCAGGAAGTTCCTGCAATATCGGGCCTCACTGAACTGAAGTTGTGCATTTTTACGCAACGGTATTCGAGATTGAGCAGACCCAATACAGCGTAGTGCTCTTCATACACCATGTTTCTTAAATCCGGATCAGATCATTTTGAATAGCGTTGAGTCCTCTCCAGTTTTCAGCACACCTCAGAGCACAGGACGGTTCCATTTGAATGCCTTCAGAAACTTCGACACTGTCTCTGATCCTGAGGAAGGTCAATTCGCAGAGCAATTATCTTAGAAGCATGTCCTTCTTCAGGTCGAACCTTGAGTACAGCCCCAAATCGCGTAGTTCCTCCACAGCCCGGGCCGGACTGACGCATGTCATGTGCACGAAGGGGTCCCGTGCTCTGTCTAGGGGTAGATGTCTGCATGAGCAACGCTCACTGGAATACTGGCAAATCCCGTAGAGGTAGATACACCTTGGGAGGCTCAAAGAGCATATCCAAGTCGAGATGCAGAAGACAGGTTCGGTTTTTCGTGCGTCAGTTCATTATCGCGCTTTCTAGGCATCCTAGAGAACGAATTTTTTCGATCTTTCCCTGGTGTTGATGTCGTGAACTTGGGCTCGCTTATTGAGGGTCGCGCTCTAACCAGTGAGCCATCTCGTCCCGGAGTCGGTGTAGTGTGGCACGGGACCAGTCGCAGCAGATTTCATCCTTCGGAAGAGACAATACTTGGCTCACTCTTTGAATTTTAGGACTTTGGGGGAACAAACCTAGGGTTGAACTACAGAGCAGTTCATAAGGCCAGAATTGCTCACGAAATAGAAAGGAATCATCGACATGAATTTTTATGATGCACAATTTAGCATTTTGGCGCTTCCAAATGCTAGCCTCTGAAAGTCCCAAAGATTGACCATGAGTAAGGCAAACACAACGCTAGTTTTGCGCACTTTTCTGGTTCAGTTTGTCGAATTCGCAGATGCGTGTATTGTGGTGATTAACAAGGATGAAACCACTCACCGGTCAAGGCGGGTATACTAGCTCGTCTGAGCTTAACAGTTTGACGACGTACCTTGGTGAAAGGAAACAATGCTGCAAAATGGTGATGCCACTGTTCAAAATTAGTTTTTTGTATCATGAACGGAAAGTGATATTTCCCAACGAAGATTCCCTCTCCTAGGTGAAGC